CTGCTAAATTAGGAACGGCTAGCGCAGATAGCCCTCGTGTAGCTTTGCGCGAAATTCCAAAACAAACAAAAAATAACCTTAGGAATCAAAGTTCATCCTGTAAATATAGAATAACCATATAAGGCGTTTGAAATATCCACTTGAAAATTTTATAAATAACAACATTTTAGCAGTTTCTTTCGATATGTTGAAGTATTTACCTTATAAGAATATTAATTAACTGGTAGAAGATATAATATCTACCATCCGTCCCATTACTCATAGTTACTCCTTAAGCATTATAATATTCGGAGCGGAAACAGGGTAGGTCACTTTCAATTTAGAGAGAAAATAGGTCAGTAATCTGCAGATATCCGTCACGGTGTTTCTTTAGTTACCCAGGTTCTAAGCTTTTTAGCTTATATATATATGCTAACGTTAAATGATACATAATATAAAATAAATAAATAACTATAAGCTTGATGTTTTCAGCATTGAAATTTACAGTTAAAAATACTAATCAATATTGCTTTGGAACGGATAAAAAACATATATATGCTTGGTGATAGCTGAGTACATACGTATACTGCCACAAGAAACATAAAACTAATGTTAATGGCGAAACTGGTCATTGACTCTTCATTTCAAGCAATTTTTATGTCTCTGTACGATAACAGCAGCATTTAAAAGTCAGTAAACGTCATTAACCTCTAGTATAAGATAGCACCATTTAAACTATATCATAATCTCTCCCAAGAAATCTAGGACAGGATAATTTTAATCTATCATTATTAATCATGAAACCTGTAGATTGATCTCTGGAGTGCGGGATCATTGTTATATACAACTGATGACGGATACAGAATATCTTACTCTCACATCTCAAAACAAAAAAAAAAAAATTACAGAGTCCCGAGTGCTAATGACGGTAATCAGTCCTACAACATACACATTCTTTTCAACTAGCTTGGTTAATTTGAACAAAATTTCATCTATTCTATATTAGAGGACTTCCTCATGAACAAGAGAAGGAAAAAAAACTGCTGAATTTCAACCACTTTTAATTTTTCTTAATACAAGTAATGTTGCCATGAATCTTTAAATATATACGTAGATGAAGTAAAGGTATAAAATATGCGTTGAACCATGAAGTAAATAACAGCGCTAGAAATCGGGTTTCGATACCCGTGATCGCCAGAGCACAGATAGCCCATTGTGTAGCTTTTTGTGCTTAATTACAAACAAACAAACTTCCTTACACTACTCATCAGTTCGTACTCCTACTTGTAACAACTTACTTCATACAAAATAAAACCAGATTGTTTAGCAAAAAATAGTGCTAATCTGAACAAATTAATAACATGAGTTCTTGAATACCTTTTTGTGTTTTCTATTATACTTTATTTTGACTATGAAGATAAAACTTTTGCTTTGAGTAAATATTTTATTTCAATAATGGTTCTGATATCTGTCACTATTGTGCGAAATATCCAATGCATCGCAATATTGGATATTATACATGTGACGTACGAATCGTGACAACAGAAATAAAGCCATGTTAAGCGATAGACTTTCAAAAAATAAGTGAATGATAGAGAACATCTGAAACCAGGTCTCGTTGTATTTCTTCACTTAGAGTAGCACTAGTTCTCAAATCTTTGCAGTGGTGAAATGCACTATACAAAAACTCCAGATATACAGTATTGAAAATAAGAATGGAAACGGCGGGAAAGAAAAAGCAAATACTACAGAAATGCCTTTATCGTATGAAAATAAACTGCACCAAAGTACAGTCACGTGTTGGTAGCTTACACGCCAATATAAAGCCTATATTGCAGACAGTCATACTATGCCCAGTAGTAGTAGTAGGGTGAATACAATTATAGCTCCTTGGACTGAAATATCACATTTTTCATGCGACAGATTGCGATAAGACTCCATGTTTAGGTTGGAACTGTATGAAAGACTCTGAAGAGGATACCTGAAACTGGTGCTGTTAATAATAAAAATTGTCGAAAGAGAAAACCGAAACTACCCAAAAGCGATTAAGTGCCTCGGGATATTTACGATATAGACGACGGTCAAGTACAACTCTTACGGTCTTACCAATTGCTTTATTGTAAATACAAATGTGAGTGTTTTCTCGAGAACAGCAAAGTAACTAAATACTAGCACTGAGTGTCTCGACTAACATGTAGTTGCTCCAAACCTGCTGCTGGGAAGAGGTAACAAAGCTAAAAGGTTGAAATTAACAATGGACCACAAATAGCATAATGAACAAATGAGACGCGTGCTCATTCCAGATAAATCTAAGTTCGAATTGTTCGAAAACAATCAACAACATTTTGTGAAGCATGGTGGGGATTCATTACATTTTAGCCAATGGTATCAGTGATCTATGCAAAGTTGATGACACCCTAACTGGTGAAAAGTACATTTATCAAAATATAAATAGACAAGGCAGAGAGTGGGAAAAATCCACAATAAACAGACCAGTTCACATAGTAAAAACTTAGAAAGTAATTTGTACTTTGACTTTTTGTTTCTCTGTGCTGGGACTTAGCATTAACGTTAGGTTATAACTATAAGAGATATATAGGTTTAAATTAGGCTTATGCGTTAACTTGAGTTAACAATAGTAGTGTTCAAGTTCAAATTAGACTAAAACAAAGTATTCTTTTTTGTGTACTCTCTCTCTCACACACACACACACACACCAATTGCAAGAATGAAATACTAAAAAAAAAAAATGTAATAAGTTTCTGTGGATTAACCTGACAAAGTTTTTATGAAAAGACAAAATTTACAGTTGTACTTAGAATTCATCAGAATCTTCTTACTTCTTCAAACAGTTAAAATAACAACTAAATTATACCTTGGGATCAATGAGAATATGTTTCACCTTTCTGAAAAGAAAAGTCACCAATGGACGGATAGCGCAGATAGCCTTTGAATTGCTTTGCGCGGGAATTTCCGACAGCTATGATTGCTCAATATCTCACCAGAAATATTGGAGTCCTTTAAAAGTATTTAGTGGGCCTACAATAAACATTAGCCGGTATTCCAATGCACAATTAATGAAAAAAATAGAAAAATAGTAAATATCATAATTTAAGATATTTGATTAAATAAGCTTGTCAGTTGTTAGGCTTAGAACAGTACTTAAAAATTAAAGTCACACACCACTTAAAATAGATGTAAAATTCGCAAATCACGAGTATTAGGTGTAGCAATAATAGTAATGTTAATAATATTTGGTAAAAGAACACTTATAAATATTACGAACCAAATTTCTTAAATTATGGACATAAGGTAGCAATATTCATGATGTGTATTATGTGTTTCCTGAAGTTTGAGGTTTTGCATATAACCCTGTTTCCTGCAACTTTCACAGTCGAATAT